GCCATAAATGCTTAAGAAAGCCTACAAAATATTAACTCACAAAAATACTACAATATTTACTAATATGTGCAGATTTCTTAAAAATGTTTGATTACTTGTGAGGTATCTTTTCTGTTAATTTTTTATTATTGATTTTAAAAAAAAACTTTTACTATGTTCATAAAATAACTAATGTATTTTTGCTAAGAGAATTTATAAATATAAAAAATTCTCATTCTTAAATATTAATTTTTATTAATGAATAAAGCTACATTTCACTGAAACTCTTAAATGTTGAACACTTTTGGGAGCCACTGTATCTCATGCTGTAAAGAAGGGCAGCACACTGGTACGTGTAAAATAAAGGTATTTTATTTCAGGTAGTGGTAACACATTGCTTTTAAATAGTGGCATTTGTTGAATAAAGTTTAAAGACTAATATATTTTGCCACATGGCAATTGTCTCATTCGTTGGAGATAAAAGTGTTTTATTTTGAACTGCATTGTCACTGCTTGCTTTGAAATCACTGAGTTTATTAATAAAAAATTTATTAAATTTGTTAAAAATATGATATGAATCAAAAACAAATTAAAAGTTCTGGCTTCGAGGTGAACATGTTCGGGTCAGAGATTATGTATGTTCAAAATTTGGTGATTTGAAGCATATAAAACATATATTTCATTCAGTAAATTCTCTATGGTACTTGAAATATAATTAAAATGTCCAATATCTGAATTTTCCAAAAGTTTTGTTGAGGGAAAAAAATCTTGGTGAGGCATTTGGATAGTGTTAAATGGTGTTTTCTTTTTACATGTTTAATTATATCATACCACTCATCTGGCTAAAAAATGTTTTGAAATTTTTTTACGTGTGACTCAGTAATGGCAAAATCTGAATCATCAGGCAAATAGCTATATCCAGTTACCGAAAATTTGTTTCATTGACTAAGCTCTTATTTCCATACTTTGAACAAATTTCTGTAAATTTAATACAATTTTGATATTTCTAGTTTGTCTGGCACACAAATCTGAATATGTTACTATTTTTTCAAAATTTTGAGCATAAGTTTTCATGTACTTTATTAGGCATGATGAAATATCTTGAGCCTTATGAGATCCTTCGAAATTCAGTTTCTGCCACCTGAATTATCTCACCATCTGAAGATTGAATTTTTATTTACAAAGAAACAGAAGTTTGCTATATGCTTGCATCCTTAAACAGTTGTTTAAAATGTAAATTTTGTAGAGAGTACCGTATAGAAATATTTTTATTTCACTAGTATTATGTTTTGCTTTTCATATTATGTGACATATAGTTAATACATTTTTGGAATATTTAAGTCAAAATTTAAATATTGTTGTCTTGGATTATAAGTTCTGGTGTACTGACTAGTGTTGGCTGGAAATGATGCTAAATGTTTTATAATGTGTGACGCTAATCATTCTAAAACTTGTGTCACATTTTATTGCTTGCAACACAACCATTGCATTGATCAACCAAATACCTAACTTGTTCTTTAGAACAACATTTGTATATTTGCTCATCATTCTCCTGATAAGTGTTCCTAAAATATTTTTTGCTAATGCAAATAATATGTTGGTCTTTTTGGAAATAATGTGTAAAGAAATGTGATATTGGTTCTTTAATCCTCTCAGCATTATTACGGCTGGAAAATTCTGTCTAGAAGGCTGCTTTCTATATTCATTACAAATCAAATTTCTGCTAGCTTTTAATGTATTTGATTTCGGTTTGGATATATTTTGGAAGAAAATGAATCAAGGTACAAAATGAGCGATTCATTTTTTAATTAAAATCAAGAAAATGCCACGTATTCATGACATAGTGAGGAACTTTGAAATTTCAAGGCTAAACTCGTAATGTTCGGAGAATTAATGTTATTTGTGGGGCATCTATTTTTTATTTCTTTTAATACAGCCTCTGAAGCAAGTATTTTGTTTAAGTTGACTAAACTATGAAATACCTTCACAGAGCCTCTCTCTTATCCAAAATAATTGTTTGATACACTTCTGACGACATTTGCGTATTAAATCGACAAATCTTTTGCAGATATAAAATTTCCTCCTTTATTCCTGTATGCCAAACCTTTTATTCTCTTATGCTTTTGTAAATTTTGGGCCCAATTATCAGGATTACAACTTCTGTTCCTTCCAGTGAATGTATTCGTTGCACTATTTTTACTAATGTAATCAAAAGAATCCAAAGAAAAACATAACTATTTTCTTGAGCCAGACTTTCTGTTAATAAATCCTATCGAAGAACCATCCGTTGATTCACTTGTTTTCCCACATCCAAATTGTTATTAGTCTCATTCATCTTGATTGTAGCAGTGTAATATTTATTTTCTTAAAAATAACTATGAAATTGAAATAATTCTTTATAAATAATTCAAACACAATACTTGACTCTGTGAGACCTAGACTGTGATGGATTAATTTATGTTACTTTAATTCTATTAAAATGACATTAGAAAATTTACTGTTATCTTTCAGCACATGCTACTGAATCTGAGTTGAATTGTTGCAATAATTTACATTAGAGATAGAGTTAATCAAAATAGCTTCTGAAATAAATTTTTTATTATTCAGTGGTCAAAAACATTTTGTCGTTTAATGGCGTTAATCTTTATTATTTGAGAAATTTATTATAAGTATAAAAAGCTATGATTGAACCAAGTGTTTGACATTTAAATTTAAGATATTTAAAAAAATGGAGTTAATCAATTTATACAGTGAAATGGCTCATTCTGTTCAGTTCAGACTGACATTTCTTAGCGGCTATCAGTCACAGTTAGCGACTAATTGCCATACTATCAGTCACAGTTAATGATTATTGTTATTATCATCATTATACGAAAACCTTAAGCTTGTTTAATATTGGTTTTTTATCATTCCAGTGATTATTGTACAATCTTTAATCCCAGTTGAATGTTGACAGCCAGATTTATGCAGATTTTATTTATAATTTTTTTGTAAAAATCTTTATATAAAGCAGTGGGTGTGAATTTGGATGTTATGAAACTGATTTGCTAAAACATTTTAAAGTTCTGATAAATCCAAATAGGCATTGAAATTCTGTAATTCCGCATCAATAGTTTTTATTTTAAAAGCTAGTTCTCATGCTTAATTTTTGTGAAATATATAGGTGTTTTTTCTCTGGAAGTAGCTATTTTACCGTAAACCAGTGCTTCTTATTTGATATGCAATGGCTAGAATATGCCAGGCTAAATATAAATAGTGCACGTTTTATTTTCGGCGTCTAGTTTCAGTGGGAATATGATAGCCCTAGATTCTTTAACTTTACAGTTAGCTTTAATAATGTTAGGTATAACTTAAATTTTACTTTTAGCTTTCAAAATACATGCGTGACTGTTACTTGTATGAGCTAAGTTCAATAAAAAATGACTGTATTTTCATTTTATTAGCATTGTCGTAAATTAAATCAACACGACGTTCTTGTGATGCTCAGGGGAAAACATCATTAATATTTTGAAATCCTTAATAGAAAGATATTTTATTTGGGTTCAAAGCCTTTTACAGAAAAGCTGAAGATATGTTGATCTGTTTGTTAAGAAAAAAGAATGATTAGCCTGGAATTGACTGAATTAAACACTTCAGGTTACAGAGTATCTCATCATTTTTAAATACTAAAATATACTAATAAGTTATGCCATTTGCTAATTGTATGAATAAATGCTTTTATCCATGATATCATAATAAAAGTGTAAAATGATAATTTTTAAATCTTTAAATTAGGAATTAATAGGTTGTTCAGGGATTATTCTTAATATTGAAAATTCTGATTAGCATTTTTAAAGATATTTAATATCATGAATTTTTGGATGAAATAACTTAGTAACTTAACATAATGGGTTTATCATTTTAAATAAAATTATTCTATAAATTTCACATATGCTCTTATTATTTTTTATATATAAAAAGTTAACTCTGTATTTCATAAAATTAGATAAAATTTCTGTGCAATTAGTGTAATTTAAATTAATCTTAATATAGTCTCACTTCTACAGTTCAGATTAGCCAGATTTTATTTTCATAATTAGCTTCCTTTGTTGAAAGTAAAATTCAATCTTGTTTTAGAATAATTAATGTATTATGCTATCTTTTATTTAATTTTATGCATTGAAATTAATTAAATGCTATATATAATTAGAGATGCTTCTGAATTCTTTGAGGTAGTTCCTTTAGAAATGTATATATTTCCAAAGGGGGCAGAAAAAATGCATGCCTTCATGACCTCTGCTATAAGGGAAAAAACAGTCTTTGATGGCTTTTGATTTTATTTATTTCAATTATTTCAGAAGAAATATTTTTAAAATTTCAAGAAATTTGGCATACATTGTACATTTTTTATGGAGTAGAATTAATCATTATATTGTTTTATAAGTGAAAATTGAAGTTTACAGTATTCTTGCTGTTGTGCACAAACAGTATATCAAAATGTAGATGTGTATGAAATTATTTAAATACTAAAAAAATTACCTCTTGTGGTTTAATGAAAAATTAATTGTCTTGTTTTTGCACAATAAATTCATTCTTGGAGTGTTTTATTTTAGGATTTTTTTTAATGTAGCCATAGTTAAAAAATATACATAACTTTAAGGTTTTAATTTATTGTTTTATATTTTGTATGGGTGTTTTATAGTGGCCTAATCTAGTACTTACAGTTAAGCAGAAAAAAGTTACATATTTTGCATCATATTTTGAGTGATTGTGCCTTGTGCTGTGTTTTCATATTGACTCAGTTTCTTGTTTATTACTCATGTTGTGAATTACTTAAGTTTCAGGCTGTCTGGTCTGTTTTTGGTGATTTAGCCATTCTTTTCTCTTTTAGATTATTTTAGAAAGAAAGGTTAAATCACAGAAATGTTTAAAATTTGTTTTTTGGTTATTCAACCTATATTTTCTTCCTGGCACCAACCTCAAGGTGAGCCAAACTATTATATTATGCGTATTAATTTCAATATGAATGTTACTTTGGCTAGGTTGAAGAAAGCACTAGGAGTCTTCTTTATAAATTACGTCAAACGTGGAATGATATCTTGCCCAACAATATTCTGTATGGTGTAGATTGCCGAGTAAATGCTTTGGATCCTGCATGGCCAATTACAGCTACAGCTCCTGCAAAAAATAGTATTCATTTGAATCCAAAGTTTTTAGGTTCTTCTGTTGTTCAGGTAAGCATAAAATATTTTATTACATTTATCTTATTTTAATCTCATGTATAATATGCTTGAAATCTAGAAAATAGGAAAAATATATTATTTAAAAATCAAATAAAGTACCAGCCATTTATTAAAATCACTTTTATTCCAAATCTATTTGAGTTTTCATTAAGCAGTTGAGTGTAATAGGTGGCAATTTCCGTGTTGCAAACAGTGATATCAATTAAAAATTTTCAAACGAAATAAGTACTAACAATTAATTCTTTAATTAATCCTAAAATAGTAATTAAAAATTAATATTAAAAGTATTTTTACTATTTTGAAATTCATTTTTTAAAATTTCTTCAAAAATATTTTTATACAGTGCAAAGTCCGAGATCTGGACTTGTTGGGACTTCGGTGTTCCCGGATTTTGGATTTTTCTGGATATTAGATTGTCAGTTTAAATCCAGTAAGATGGCATCTAGAAATTATAAAATTAAAAATGTGAAATCATGCTTTGAAGCATTTATGATCCAAAAGGTACCAAATTTACCCCCCTCCCAAACAAGGTCCTTAATATTTCTTTGTTTACTATATTAAACATTTCTTTCAGTGTAAGTTAAGTTGCTTCATTTTTGTGCTAATACTTTCTCTTTAATCGTATAGACCGATATAATTCCTTGTTCAGTTACAAAGTTCCATTGTTCAAGTCCTGTTATTGCTGTGTTGAGAACACTAATTTGTTTTCAATAACCTCTCTGTCATATTCCTCACGACTGGTAGTCATATTTTCTGGATTACAGATTTCGTCATTAGTTAATTGACTGATGATTGGTGCATTGTCACCGCAATGAAAATTTCTGTTAAATCATCTTCAATTAGTGCCGCTTCTCCATATTTCTTTGAAAAATGCACTAATTGGAGAATTTCAACTTTGGTTTGTGATATCTAAAAACTTTCAAATTCTTGGCTATCATTTTCATCATCCTCACCATGAAATATGGTAAATGGCCATAAATTATGCCAAGCATTTTTTAAAGTATCTGAAGACACATCCTCCCACAATCTTGCGATGCTCCACACAGCAGATTTTATGCAAAAATATTTAAAAAATTCTTGAATAGTCTTGCCATTATTCAAGAAATTTAACATGGACTTCAAAATGCCACTTTATATTTGCATTTCTGTGCACGCACTGTTCCGATATCCATAGGCTGAATGATGGACGTTTAATTTGGAGAAAAGCATAATATAGATACATTAACTTTCGCAGGTGAATTATGAGTGGTACCATTGTCAAAGTTCAGAACAATTTTTGCGACATCAGGTAAACCAACTGAATTCAAATGTTGCCAAGCCTCGGGTATGATTTACAAACCAATCATTTATTAATGCTTATGTCATCCATGTCCTTTTATTTGCACGATATATAACAGGAAAAATCTTTACTCCTTTAAATGTCATGTATTTTTTCGATTACAAATAGTTTATAAGTGCATGTTCCTGCAGCATTTGCACATGCTAAAATTGTTAGTCTCACTTTGGGATCTTTGAAACCAATTGGCGCCTTTTCTGTAGAGGTTGCCGAGATATTTTGCAGTACTTATAGCCAGAAAGACCAGTTTTGCAGGTGAATTATTCATTATTGAATTCATCAGTGTTGTAAATTTGTTCTGGAGATAGAAGACGAAAGAGAAGTTGTTCTGCTAAATTTTGTGTTGCTTCTATCATGCACTGAGACAATTAAGTCTGAATTGTATTAGTTAAGTTATTTATTATACTTAAATCTATTTCTAGCAAATGCTTAAGTCTTATCTGTGTTCTGAATAAATAAATTCCCACATATGCTTAAGGTTTATCGAAGATCAGTGCTAGGTGTCTTACTTCCTGATGTAGTCTTTGCGGGCCTTAAATTCTGCTACCAAGTGCCTCCCTAAGTTCTAAATTTTGAGTCCCAGTGATTTACTAAAATTCTAAATATTTTGCCATCCCTTAATTTTGTTGCTTGATGCTTCTCTAAATTCCAAAACTTTGTCTTCCCTAAATTCTGCAGCCCGGTGAGTCCATATGAGCTTTGGCGCCAGTTCTGAGTTTATGTGAATGACAAATCAGATATTCTTATTTCGAATAGCACTTAGTTTAATCTTTTGGCCTATGCGTATCATTGGCAAAATCTTTTTTTTAGCATATGGAAAGAAATTTTTGTTAAATTTTTTTCTTGTCAACATTTCTTAGTGCATTTAACTTCAATCTTTAATCATTGCCAAGCATAATGCCAACAGAAAAGACTACCATACTCTTTGTTTTTCAATTACTAATATAAAAAAAGAATGTTTAGGCATTGCTGCATGAGTCATTACTCAAGTTGTCATGTGTTGGATAAAAATATGGTGATGAAAGCAAAATATGATAAATAATGATTCGCCAGTTTAGGCGTCATATATAGAAAATATTACTAGGTGTAAAATGAACGATGTTTCTTTGTTTTGCTTTGAAATGTATACCAAGCACATATGCAGGTATTGAGTCAAACTATTGATTACACAAATTTATGCTAAAATGCTCGTTTATTCAATAACGAATTATTTTATTTAGTGCCAAAGTGAAATTAAGAATCGGGACTCTCCACATGTTTTATTATGGGAGGGAAAAAAATTGAATGCGCATGCATAAAGTAGACAAAAAAAGAAATATTGTTGTTGGCTTTTGAGGTCCGGATTTTAGATTATCCCAGATATTGGGCATCCGGATCGCAGACTGTGTACTGTAAGTACTTTCTTAATGAAATTTTCTGTCTTAGAAATAACTATTCTATCTGTATTTATTTCATATTGTTCAATAATAAATTTTAAATTGTATTTTGTAAAACTGCTAATAGCTTTTTTGATCAGCACTTTTCAATTCTAGAATTTTACTTGGAATTTGCTCTGCTTGTCTAGATTTGATTAGTGATGGCTTGTTATTACTTTCACTGTCAGTTTCTGCAGTTCTTTTAACATTTTCGTGATAAATTTTTAGGCACTCTGTGTCAATATTGTTGTGAATTGACAAATATTCTAAAAATGTTATCTTGAAACATTCCTCATTGTTATCTGAAATGTTAGCTATAGTTTGAAATTCCTCTGAGGCTTCTTCTGTGTAAAATTAAGTTTTCAAAAACAGTTCTTAAATGATTTTAAGAGTAACCATGCAATGACTATAATATGCATAGCCTGTAACAGAGATATTAGCCTAATTATTACTAGAATAAACACTTATCTCCTTCGAGGTGCTTGCATTTTGCAAAATTCAGTTCTGTTCATCATTATCTAAACTTCTCTTCTGATCTGACATTTGGAAGCTTTTATAATACCATAAAATTGAAGGTTGAATGTGTTAGAAGTTGTGTTTGCTGAAAGAGGTATTAATTTTACTGAATACTAAGATACTGAATTGCGTAGGGGTTCTTTTGAATAAACTGAATGCCGTATGTATGGCAGGAATATTGTTATAGAATTTAGGAATAATGTCATTATTAATGGGTATTTGATGGTATGCCTTAATTAGGTCAGCAGGACTAAAAATTTTAATACCATGCAGTGAAGCAGTAAAATTGGTTAAGCAAGGATTGGGATAGTTATCTTTTATTGTTTGGATTTTCAATGCTTGATAATCTCCTACAGTTCCAAAGTTTGCTTTTTTGGGAGCATGTGAAATTGGGATGCATAATTGTCTCAAGTGCCCCAATTGCATCATAATTTGAAATTCTCGTTTTGCTATTTTTAAGCGGTCTGGGGCTAACCAACGAAGTTTCACAACCACATAATCATGTTCTAATGAACGGTGTTGTGTTTAATTGCTTGGTTTAAGATCTGGTGATTTAGTAATAGATGGAAATTCTTTTAGAATTTTTAATAAGATGTGTCGTTAAAAACATATTTGCTGAATAAATGACTGCATTTTTCATGTAGCTTATAGTTTGAGATTACATTTAAATCTTTGAGACATTTGTTTCTAAGCTCAGGTTCCAATGCAAAGAAATGGAGGAAATCTGCTCCAAGAATCGGTGTACTAACATTTGCTTGTTTGAAAAGTCCAAGTAGTCTGCCATTTAATTTAAAAATCCAAAAAAAAGTTCCTCCCCCCATAAACATGAATAGTTGAAGAATTGGCAGCAAAAATTGTTTATTGGAGAGAATTTTGGTTTTTAGACTTGTTTGCGGGATATAAGGATGTGCCAGAACTGGTGTTGACCGAGAATGAAACTTTTTTCCTTGGGTCACGAATTAACAGGTGATGTGTAATTTAAAGCTAAGAATAAGTCACCTCTTGCAATTTTTTCCCAAATGCCTATGATACTAGTAAATAGAATAATCTCTCTTTTTGGTACTGCTTCTTTCTTTATTGCAATCTCTACAATTTGGCAAGCAACCATGAGTATGGAAAACATCATCAATACGCTTGCTTAATTTTTCCTTTTTTAAAAATAATTTATCCTCAACTGATTGATTCTGTGAGAAACAACACAAATCCCTGGAGTCAGATTTACTTCTAAGATTCTGTCAGAAATTTTTGCAGCCTTTTCTGAAAAGGAAACCCTGACAAAATAGACTGAATGGATGAAGGCAAACGTTGACGAACTAATTCTAACATTAGGTATGTAACTAAGTAAATCAGAAGTCTTTCAAGAACGTAATTCCTCTGCAAATAATAATTGGTGGATATCTTGCTGGGAAGATCCTTCTGATTGATTTATTAACTCAGTTTTGAGCTTTGTAGAAGGGTCAGTAGGGTCTGTCTTCATAAATAAATCCCAAACTAATGATGCAGTATCTAGAGGAAGACGAGAAACTGCATAATTATATTTAGTAATTGATTCTGTAATACATTTGGGAGCAGCAAGATCAGTGTACTTTCACACATAATAAACCATTTGGATGCCATATATATCAGACATTGTACAAGGTTTAAGCCAAAATAAAAGTAAAAATGCAGCAAAAGAAAAATGTGAATGGTGAATAGAAAACAAAGCTATGAAGTAATATGTAATT